ATGGAGCAGGAGTCGGATGTCGAGTTACAGGAAGCTCTGTGATCATCTGTGCTGCTGATGGCCCAGGCGGTGTAGTTATCTGAGCCCGGAGTCTGAGACCAGCTCACAGTCATCATGTTGGTGTTACAGTCCAACTCTGCCACAACATCTTTTGGTAGGCAGGGAGCTACAGGGGAGCGTCAAAAACATAATGATACTATACTCGACATACAACAGACAAGCTGCCAAGGTGATTTGATAGGCTGAGAAATAAATAAAATGAAATGTTAAAAATGGAATTTTCTTGTATCACCACCTTAATTTGTTCTCATAGCTTTCTATAAAGAAAAAAAAAAGAATTACACTGTCAGGTTTAGAGTCCGACTCATTTATCAGTGGGACGATTATCAACTGATCTGAGCTATTTTCAGAATTTATAATGATCAGTAAATGAAAATTAAAGTAAAAGAAGAGATCAGAGAAACATTCGTCAACCACATTGCGAGTGTTTACGGTGCATATTTTGTCCACCAGAGGACACTACATAGTATCCATGTTGGCAACAAGTGTTTGAAACACAACAAACACAACCAGCTGATCCGAGCAGAGCATGAATGAGTAAATAAATAATTCTACTCAATTATACTTATGCCTGACAGCTCCATACCTAACAACCTTGGTCAAATATATCCACCACACCTCCTCTGCACATGTCCAACCATCTCAACATTGCCTCTCCAACTTTATGTCTCAAAAGCTGAAGCTGAGCTGCTCCTCTTCTATTATATTTCCAATCCTGTCCTCCAACATCCCACTTCTAATGAAAATCTCATTGAAACCTCTTCTCTCCAGGCACCGCCCTCTGATCCCTACTCTCACTACAGATCACAGTTAGGCTTCAAATATCATTGTCCATGCAGACCCTGCCTGACTTTCACCACTTCCACTTTCATCATTGCAAACAACAGGCTCAGAGCTGATCCCTGATGTGATCTCACCCCACCGGTGTCTTACTGTCATTCATTTCCTGCGCCACTCTCACATACTCTAATGCCACTCCTGTCTTCCTCACAGAGGACCACAGTTCTTCCCTTTGCACCAGATCACATGCTTTTTCCAGATCTAAGCAGGTCTAAGGCTTGCTCTTGTAGTATAAATGTTTTGTCTTACCCGAGTCAAAATAAATATCAGTGTGTTTGCTGCTGTTGCAGCTTTCTGTGGAGGCCACCAGTGTCGCAGAGTACGAGCGGCCACAGTGAAGTTTCACAGCGCAGGAGGTGTCATTAGAGGAGCAGGAGGCTACGTGGCCGTGCTCCCCTGTCACCTGCACAGTGTAGAAACCTGCACTGCTGCTTTCATCCCAGGAAAAATTCCCATTGTTTGTCCCACAGTCCACTTGGACCGTTAAGTTTGTGGGCTGACAGGGGGCTGAAAGAAAAGGAGAGCTGCTGGGTTATGCATGCCCCACAAGAACTTTTGCTGCCGTTGCTATGGAAACACTCATTACCTGTACTTATTTCTATGGGTGGACTGTAACTGCTGCGGCAGTTTCCATCCTGGGCTGCAATGCAGAAAGCGTACCTTTGCCCACACAGCAGATTAGACAGAGTATGGGAAGAGTTAGAGGTGACGTTGGCTGAATGAGGGAGTGCGCTGCCTATCTGCTCATACTGTAAGACATAGATAGCTCCAGTCACTGGATCCCAAGTGAGGGTCAGTGCGTTGGCATCACAGCTGACATGACCCGTCAAGTTAGTGGGTGGACACAAAGCTAGGAAGATACAGGAGGTGAGCAAATCAAAAA